CCACTGCTGTGCCCACTGCTGACCACTGCTCTCCTCCCTCCCTGCAGCTGCCCAGCTGGACAGCATCGGCTTCAGCATCATCAAGAAGTGCATCCACGCTGTGGAAACACGAGGTAGGGCAGCTCTTGGCAGAGGAGCAGTTGTTTCCTGCCCTTTCCATGGACACAATGATTCATAAACCCTCGGACCCACACCAGATGGACCCAGAACGTGCTGGGGCCAGYGCCACTGCCCAGAAGTGTTTGCCCYATGGCCARSMCAGCAGGGACMCACAAAYRYGRGGCARGGTTAGAGATAATGCCCTGGGTGGGCAACAGAGGGACAGGACCCTCAAAAAGAAGGGTTCACTCCAGCATTCTTCCTGCAGGAATGCTGCCAAGCACCTCCTCTCATGTGGGAACCTCTTGTGAATCTCTTGTACACGGGTGGGGTTCTCCCAGCCCCTCAGGGGGAAGTGAAATGCGAGAGGCTCAGACCTGAACCTGAAGAATTTGACACAGTGAAATTTTCCCAAATTGTTGTTAAGTGCAGAGCCTGAGTGGGGTCACCATGGCTGTGGGAAGGAGGAAAAGTGCCCTTAGATCCTTGCTCCTGAGCTAACTGAGGGTAACCCTTCTAAAGGACATGTGAAAACCTTGCTGTSAACCCCAAATGTCACCATCTCCTGTAGCTTTGTGTTTAATTGCTGAGAAGGTTTCATTGGCTTTGCTATTCAAGAAGCCGAAGAAGTGAAGGGAATTTTAGCAGCACTTGTGACCTTCACTGATCAGCTCCTTGTTCTCCCCAGGGATCAACGAGCAGGGGCTCTACCGCATCGTGGGGGTGAACTCCAGAGTGCAGAAGCTGCTGAGTATATTAATGGGTGAGTGTCTGGGRTTTTGTTAAAGATGAGCAGACTGTGCTGCTTTGAAGCCTTGCCAAGCAGGAGCAGAGGCTCTTGGGGTCCCTGATGGTGTGACTGTGCCCTTAGGACGTGCTGACTGAGCCTGGGAGCTGTCTTAAGGTGGGATAGTGCAGGACTTTGCTCCAGCAGGTCTCTGTGTCCTGCTCACACACGCTTCGAGCTCTGGCAGCCTTCCCAAATGCAAACCAAAATCTTCAAAGAGATAGCTGAAAGCTTTGGCTTTTCATCTCCTACCTGCCCCCTTGTTCTGAGCACCCTTTGAAATTATTTTCTCCTGGATGTTGCATGCTGCCTGTGGCTGTTCTTGCTTTCCCCACAGACTTTCTCGTGCCTGTCTATCACAGTCTTGCCCAGAGTTTGCCAGCATGTGTTTTACACATCACTGAGGCACTGAATCCTGCAGTTCTGGATGCTCCATAGAGCACCACAAGCTGCTGGGTCTTGCCACAGCAGAGTTTGGCTCTGGCWGTGTGGGACAGAACCATTTCAGCCCTGACCTCGGAGGCAGCATTTCCATCCCTCAGCTGCAGCCCTGGGCCAGTCTGTCCGTCTGTCCAGACATGCCTGAGCCACAGAGGGACAGAGAACAGAGCTGGGCTGGAGCTGGGCTGGAGCAGGGCAGCTGCCCTTTTCCAGTCCTGTCTGTGCTGCTCAGRCTTGGCAAAACCACGGATGAAATAGCTGTAGGGAAACAAATTCTCCCTAATTTGTTAGTGCCCTATTGAATGTGTTTGTTACTCCTTGGTGGAAATGAGTGGCATTCCTGGTCATCTTCTTTCCTTTCACTTTTCTTTCCCTTCACTTTTCTTTCCTTTGCTCCATGACTGACTATTCCTTGCTGTCACAAAATTCCAGTTCTCCTTTCTCTGCATATTTCTCCTTGCAGAAAGTTTTCATCCCTTGTGTTTCAACATCTTTTCCTTTCACTTTTCCAATCCCTTCTTTTCCCATCTTTCAGGTGCTCCCTGAGCAAAGCCCATGGTGCTGTTAGAGCTGTCAGTTTTGACCTATGGTGAATGGATAATCCGGGTGGCTGGAGCAGAAGGGCACGTCTCTAAATCGGGGTGCAGGCACCTCTTGGCTCTGCCATTTGGAAAGTTCACTGCAGTCACGAGAGCTGGTGGCTGACCCTGCTATTTGAGAAGTTTGGCACGGGCTGRGGACACGTGGAGGTGCCCTGTGGTGCCAGGTCTGTCCCGTGGCACACGGTGGGCACAGGGAGAGCATCGTTTGAGGAGCATTGCTGGTACAAACAGCCTGGGCTGGTGGCCAGGGAGGTCCTGGCAGCTACATAGTGATGCTCGTCACCTCATCCCACGGGTAGCAGGGCCAGGATCCCGTTCTCTCTCCTGTGGGTCCTGGTGTGGGTCCCGGGGCTGTGACAGATGGCACAGCTCGCCTGGTGAGGAGCTCTGCAGGGCTGGGAGGGATCCAGTGCTGGCCACCATCCAGCATCCATTATCTCCTCACCACTGAAGCCACTCAGCTGTCCCCCTCGTGTCTCGTAAGGTGTGATAAATCGCTGCTGCTGCTCCTTTGTCCCGGCGTGTCCTCRCTGGAAAACCTTTGGAGAGGAGTCAGGACCCCTTTGGGAATCCCCCATGGTGGCAATCGCTGGGATGCTTTGCAAACCCATGACTCCAGCATTTCTTCAAATCGTGGGGGATTAAATCTTCACCACTGCCGGTGTTTGGGCTGTCTGTGAAGTCAGAGTCACACGGAAACRTGTCCCTTGTCAAACCCATCTGTTCCTGCTGCCCTCGGGGCTCCTCGTCAATGGAGGAGCCAAATTGTGCTTACACTGTCAGGTTTCCCTTATATTTAGAAATGAATGTGGGCAGTGTTCCTGCCTGACATACAGTTTAAATGGCAAAAAGATCGCGTTTCCCTGGGCTGGTGTTGGTGACACTGCCGGGAGGGGCTGTGGCACGAGGTGTCCCTGTGGAGGTCAGTGTGGGGCAGCAGCAGGCTCGGGGCAGCCCCAGACCTTTCCAGGGTTTCAGGGCAGATCTTGTTGGGGTCTGGATGGGGTGAAGCAGTGTGGGGATGTTCCCAGGGGCAGATCATCTCCCCAGCATTCACTGGCACCATGTGCCATCACAGTGAGGACAAACCCCAGCAGATAACCCAGCTTTCATCGCTGGGAGCTCCCAAGAGAGGGTTTATTGTGGCCCTGTGGAGGTCTGAGCTCTGCAGGAGATGAGTTCCAGCATCTCCTCTGCTCTCCTTGACCACRTGGGCCATAAGGGCTGGGAGTGGGRCTCCCTCCAGCCCCTCKCTGCTGGGATGGATCATCCCTGAGGCTGCTTTGTCATCATGCTCTCCATGACAATCACAGCTGGCTGATGGATGAGGTGCTCCCTCACGTTGTTCCCTTCACTCTGTAGAAGTTTATGAGGCATCAGGTCAGGGATTGGCAGCAGAAGGCAGCCCCAGGCTGGTGCTGGCTGTGGGCTGTGGGTGCTTTCCCAGCCCTGATTCCCCCCTGGTTCCTGTGGAACTGTGTCCTTGTGGGGCAGGGCTGCTGTGCTGCTGCCTGGGCAGGCAGATGGAGCCCAGGGCGGCTGCTTTTGGCAGCTTCATAAATGTGAAGGTCAAGGGGAGCTGATTAACTGCTCTGAGCCTTTTCATGGGACCGACTGTGGAATTTCACCTCGTGTTCCATGATCCTGCCCAGAAACTGCTGCGTGAGACTGTAGAGACACACGCTCTGGAGTTATTTGCTCTACTTTGCTTAAAAAGGGTTGTTTTTTTTAAAAAAGACAGAACTTCTGGGGGGTTTTGTTGGTTTTTTTACTATGCCAAGCTTATCTTGGCTTCATTAAAATTCTCTCCTTGTCAAGGCAGTGCTGTAGGAAGTTTCCTGGGCATTGACTCAGGAAGATGGAGATCTTTTTTGTGATTGCTGAGACACACATGATCTTTGTGTGAATATACATTTCTGATGTGTTCACTCTTCCAAGCCACGCTGCCCCTGCCCTGCTGGGTATGGAGGATTCCCTTTTCCTTCCCTTTTCCTTCCCTTTTCCTTCCGTTTTCCTTCCCTTTTCCTTCCCTTTCCCATGCCAATGATTTTGGCCTGTCCTGGGTGATGAACCCCATGCTGGTGTCCCCACACAGCTGAGCTGCCATTAGCTCCAATTGTCTTCAGTTTCCTTCAGTTATTGCTTTTTTGGCTTTTCCCATAGATCCCAAAACAGCCACAGAGACAGACACAGAGATCTGTGCAGAGTGGGAGATCAAGACCATTACTAGTGCACTGAAAACGTACCTGAGGTAAGGAGAAAAGCCTCACCTGGCTTCAGGAGGGGTCTGGGGTGCTACTGCCTGTTACTGCATACCCTAAACAACAGCACTTGGATAGAAACTGGGCAGAAACTGCTCTTAGGGAATTTATTCTGGTTTCTCCAGCATGTTTGAGTAGGATCAACACACTCAGCTCTGACAGATGCACATGTTATACAAACAGCATTAAAAAAAAATTCGTTCTTGCATTCCCTGCCTTGATTTCAGCTTTTCCCTGAGCTTCTCCTGGTGGACTTTCACCTCCTGAGCCCGTGGCAGAAGGGGAGGGCAGTGCTCTGTAAGGGCAGGGGCTTTTCCAGAGCTGGAGCTTTGTTGTAGTTMTGATTTCTGTGTGTCAGGAGATCCGGTATCACCCTGGGGATCTTCCCAACAGGACTGGGTGTTGGCAGCCAGCAGCATCTCATTAGCACAGCGTGCCTCTACCTGTTGTGACCACAGCTCCCTGCTCTCAGTCACTGTTGTGTGCTGGGGAGCGAGGGAACACAAGAGAGAGCCTAAATCCAATTAGGGTGATAAGTGTAATTAGCTTGGTGGATCTCAGCCTAGAAAATCACCAAGTTTTGCATGATTGGCAACCTTTGCTCTGGAGTTTGAACTTGTTGGCAAAGCAGAGAGGAATGTGGGCAGCACCAGTGTGTCCCTCTGGTGGGAGGAGACCATGGCAGTGGGGATTGGGAAAGTTTTACAAGTAGGCTTGTTTATCTTTTTAATTTATTTTCAAACTCACTTGGAAATTAGGGGCTCAGTGATGCACTGAAGCTGTGTTACTGAAGGAATGCTAAAATTAAAGWTTAATTTAGCGATGAATAAATCAAAGGTCCTCGCATAGATCTCATTCCTTCTGTTGAAGGGAATTAATTAGAGTTGTTGTTGCTTAATTCTGCACTTTTCAAAATGGAGCTGAGTTTGGGGCAGAGCTTTCTTTGTGCGGATTGCGTTCCTCAGATGTGTTTTGTGCCTGTTTCCTTTTTATCTTCCAGAATGCTCCCAGGGCCCCTCATGATGTACCAGTTTCAAAGGAGCTTCATCAAAGCAGCCAGTGAGTTTGTGGATGTTTGTGGCCCCGCTCCCCRAGAGGAGCTGTGATTGCCAGTGGCTGCCATCCCCTGTCCTGCTG